ATAGATTGATGGGCAGGCAGATGGATGGATGGAGAGAGGGAAGGATGGGTGGATGGTTGGGCATATCCATGGACCGATGGATCATTGATCTGGTGGGTGGATGGATGGATGATTGAGCAGATAGAAACATAACTTGATGGGTGGATAGATTGAATGATAGATCTAAAAATGAATGGATGGACACATAGATGAAAAGACAATGACAGGTGGAACAATGATTAGATACAGCAGGTAGATTAAACGATTAAATTAAAAGAGTGAATAAATGAATGGATGGACGGATGGATAAAATGACAGATGATACAGATGGATGAATAGATGGCTGGGTAAAAGGAAGGAAGGATAAATGAATGGATGGATAGAACAGTGGAAAGATGAGTGAAACAACAACACAATGAATAGATAGATAATTTATTGAAAAAAATAAGGATGATAGATAAAATGACAATAGGATGAATAAACAAATAATTGGATGGATGGATGAATAGATAGATAGATGGGGCAGCAGAAAGATGAATCACACAACAAAACAATCAATAGATAGAAAAAAATAATAAAGGATAGATAGAAATATAGATAAATGACAATAGGAAGGATAGACTGACAGACGGATAAAATTACAGATAATACAATGAATAAAAATGGACAGATAACGGAATAAAGGATGAACGAATGAGTGACAAAATATACAGACAGACAGACAGACACAGATAAATAGATAGATAGATAGATAGATAGATAGATAGATAGATAGATTGATAGATAGATAGATAGATAGATAGATAGATAGATAGATAGATAGATAGATAGATAGATAGATAGATAGATAGATAGATAGATAGATAGATAGATAACTAGATGTTAAAATAATTCATGGATGAACGATGGATAGATGGATGAATAGAGGAAGGAAGGAAGGATGTATGGATGGATGTATGGATGGATGAATGGATGGATGGAAGGGAAGAAAGGAAGGATGAATGGATGGATGGATGGATGGATGGATGGATGGATGGATGGATGGATGGATGGATGGATGGATGAACAGGACAAAGAGAATGATAGACGGCAGTAAACTAATGGATAGAACAAAACAATAAATGCATAAAGAGATAAATAAACAGACAGAACAATGAACTGATGGGTGGATGAAATGCTTTAGTATAGAACAAAGAACAGACAGAAATATGCATACAGCATAACAAACAGACAGACTGACAGACAGACAGACAGACAGACAGACAGACAGACAGAATCAAATCCATGTAATTTCTTCATTTTAATGGAAACTCCAACTAGTGATTTTTTTCATTTAGAAACAAACATTACATTTCATTTTTATCAAAATATATCCTAAACAAAGACACTAACTCTTTATGAATTCGTGGCAATCTTGCAGTTTTTAAACCGAACGGAGCTGAATTCGTCAACAGTAAACATCTGATGTAACCAACAGCAGTAGAAGTGTTCTGCTGGTCTGATCATTCTGAAGCTGGTGTTTTAGCGCCCTCTGCAGAGAGTCTGACAGCAGTACAGGCTTAACAATTTATCAAGTATTCACAATACTGGACAGCAGGTCAACATGTACAAAAGAAGCCTCTAATAAGCATACAGTATTGGTAAAATAAAAACGTAAAAAAAAAAACATCAAGCAGAAATTCCATTGGAAATGTTTTGACAGAGAATCTGTGATTGATCTCATTCCTGTTATGCAGCACATCTTCATGTTACAACCATATATGCCTTATTATATTACTTTTAAGGTATAAGTCAATGCTGTCATCTATTTTATTTATTTACATTTATTTAAAGATATTTAGTTGATTTATTTTATTAAAATATAATATTAATGTATTTATTTAAATAAAAATTTGCATTTGTCAATTTATTAAAATATATTTTAAAGTATTTTCATTTAATTTGTTATTTTATTTTATTTATTTCTGTGTTTATTTTATTTAATATTTATTTTAATTAAAATTTGTATTTATTAAAAAAAGTATTTCATTATCCTTATTTAAAGTTTATAATTTTTTAAGTACAATATTTAGGTATTTATTTAAATTAAATGTTGTAATTATTTGTTAATTTATCTAAATGTTTTTTAATTTAATTTGTATTTATTCATTTATGTATTTATGTATTTTATTTAAACTGTATTGATTTGAATTTCTTTAAAAGTATTTTAAAGAAAAGTATTTGTGCTTTATTAAAATTATTTTTTTTGTTATTTATTCAAATATATTTAAATGTATTTTAATGTAATTTGTATTTATTTATTTACTTCGACAAAGAAAAAAAAGAATTTAATTAAATAAAAAGTTGCTTTTATTAAGAAATATTTTAATTTAAGTATATACATTTATTTGAATTAAAATTTGTATTTATTTATTTATACTTAATTAAAAGTATTATAATTTAAAGTGTATTTAATTATTTTAAATTGCAATATCTATGTATTTTTATAAAAAATATTTACTTGTTAATTTATCAAAATTTATTTAAATGTATCTTAATGTAGTTTGTATTTATTCATGTATTTATTTAACTTAAAACTTGCAATTATTTATGTACATTTATTTAAAATAATTTTAATTAAAAGTTAATAATTTGTTTTATTTAAATTACAATGTTTAGGTATTTAATTAAAATTTTATTTATTTGTTAATTTATAAAAAAATTCTTTAAATGTATTTTAATTAAATTTTATTTATTTATTTACTTTGACAAAGAAAAACACAATATTCCAGTGGTTCATTTAAAATGTTTCCAAAAACACATATTTTTGGTCACAATAATGTTTAATAATAATAAATATATGGCATTTCCTTAATATATTAACAAGATGTGGCATAATTAATTAGTTTATGTCTTAATGTGAACTGGCAGTCCTGCAATGAGAAATGCATACTGTTATCAAACTCACAACTATTTTAATTAGGATTTTTTTTTAAATAAATACTAATATTCTAAACCCTCTTAAAACATTCAAGGTGCTCCAAAACAAGAATAGAAGTGTACTATTAGTAAAAATAAAGAAAAAAAAACTGAAAAGGGGATATGAAGCAAATACTTTCAAGTCTTTGGTGCTGTAAAATCTGCATGTAGCATACAATTATTTTAAGGCCACAGCTCTGGGTAGACTTTCGTAATCTGCATTTCACATTTTAAAAATGCAGCTGAAATTGAGTCCATTCAGTCCATTTGTATATAAAATCATCAAAAACATAATTTCACTCACAATGCAATGAAATGGAGAGAAAGACAGAGAAAAGAAAGCAACAAAAGTTGACTTCACTGCATGTTTCTGCATTGGCCCCCATAGACTGGAATGTCTTTGCATGCTCCATTTTGGTCCTAAAGATAGACTTTCCAGCAGCAATATTTTCCACATAGAAAAATAAATTAAAGTTCTGTCTCTCTGTTTGTGTGTGTGTGTGTGTGTGTGTGTGTGTGTGTGTGTGTGTGTGTGTGTGTGTGTGTGTGTGTGTGTGTGTGTGTGTGTGTAGAGTCAGAAATTAACACTCGCCAAACAGCAGCCACAAGTAAAAAATAAAAACTGGCTTTGGCAAGTACATAAACATAGATTTTATGAAAGAAAGTGCAATAAATGGTAAGCCATATAGATATTTACATTAGATGTCGCCTATGCTATTGTATCTATTGGAAGGAATCCGTCAATAGAGCCACCATATTAGTACAGTGTAGCGCTCCTTTGAAATGAATGTGAGACCAAGGTGCAGTGGTGGACTGGCTATCCAGAGCCAGAGATATATACATATATCAATATATGTCAATGTACAAGCAACCTCAAATTACAAATAAATAGCAAATATCGATATATAAGTTACGGCACGGGCATTGCTGACAAAGATCGTGTGTTTTTGTGCATGGACATGTATTATCCTCACTCATTGTTAATTTTTATCTAATCCATGTGCTGAAGCACACCTCCTCTCCTGCTTTCCCTTTTAATTCTAACGGAGGGAGTGATTAATTTGTGAATTATGAATGACTCGAGTTAACCAGCAATTTCCCTGCGTCTCAATGTGCATATCCAGCCTTCTGACCTAAACAGTATATAACATTTGTAATATTCAATCATTTAGAGTGGACAGTATGCACCTTAATGCTTAGGCACTGTTATGCTATCAGGCCCCCTTATAAGTTACTACAAAAACTAGCTGTTACTTCACTTAGCCGATAATAATACAAGCATCTTGTTGTCATATTTCATTTGTGTTGTTTGCTTATTTTATTCAACAAAACTAGCATAAGCCAAGCATTTAGTGTGAGTTGGTGCTACTTTGCCTTGTGGTCAGTGCAGGAAGTGACCGTATTATCACCAGTAACATGACTTGTTGAGTGTTCTGCCTCTATGCTTTGTTTGCTACCATTCCCAATAAGAGTCAGTTGCATTACACCATGTCGCATTTGCTATTTACATGGCGGACTTTGTAAGAGGAAAAGGGCTTTAGTGTTAAACTGACCATTTGCAGCAGGAGGATAAAGAGCAAGCCTCCTCCATTCGGCCTCTTTACTTTCTCTTTACTTTCATGGAGTAATGAAACGATGTAAACTTACTCCACTGAAGACATCCATTATCCTAAATATTATTATTATTATTTTTGTTAAGCACTAAGATTTGTTTCAACTAACCAATAAACCAATAAATGAACAATAATGTTTACACCACATCTGCACTTTGAAATCGCAGCAACAGCTGGAGGTTTGTGGTCCACAGCATGTTGCTGCATTGTTTACAGAGTTAATCCAGCCTGATCTCACAAGAAAACATAAGTATTTTACGTTTTGTCAGTTTAGTGGCTAATTCATACAAATTCAGTCGTACGAAAATGTACGATTTTAAAAAGGAGGCGTGGCACCCAACCCCACCCCTAACCCCAACCATCATTGGGTGATGAGCAAATCGTACTAAATTGTACGAATTAGATCAGAAGAATTCATACGAATAAGCCACTAAATCAAAAAGTTACGAATTGCTGTGCGATTGCTTTGACTGATCCTATACTTCCATGTTTCTTACCACAGCATGGCAGCCACGTGAATTAAGCGTATTAAGTCACTGTACATAAAGAGCACTACGAATCAAGCACTAATGTGGTCCAATGTCCATCAGGATGTTTTTTTTAAAAGAAAGCAGACAAGAAGTAAGGCACATCACCAGGTTTTGGAACATGAGCTGCATTGAAAATATGCAGCATTCACTGTCAAATAAATAAAAATGTATTTTATAAAAAATAAATAGCTAAATAGTTTCATGGAGGGTAAGAAACATATATGGCACCTAAATTTGACTTGAGTTAATTCTGACATTGGCAGCTATTGCAGAGAGTTAATTTTGGACCCTGTGTGTGTGGGTGTGCGTGTGTGTGTGCGTGTGTGAATGTGTGTGTGTGTGTGTGTGTGTGTTTGTGTGTGTGTGTGTCTCATTCAAGTGAAGAGCCAGAGCTGGTATTTGTCGTCTGGATTGCAGGGCACTAGTGAGGGGTTCTCGGGTCGAGCGCTCAGACACTGCTTTGAGGCCTTGTTATAGAACAGCTGATCCTGTTGAATAAAATAACAGAGCAGAATTTATGAGCCAAATCACAAAACCAAACACTGGCCAGCTTAAATTAGCATTACACAGACAGACATGCACTAAAAAATGGGCTCTTGCCTCATGATGTCTGAATATGCTTGGGTTTATTCTGCTCAATAAGTTTATTGCAGATTCGCACATTGCGATATTCATCCTGAAGCGATATATTGTGCAGCCCTTTCACAAAGTACAAATGGAATAAAACTAACCATATGGATTGTTTTTTTAGCTCACATTGCTAGTTTTGTGGTGAATAATTCATCTGTGCACTTCCTGTTTGTTTTCAGTTAAATTCTCAGATTAGGTCTGTCTGAGGTATTGAGCGTGGCTAACCTACTTAACCACGGCCCCTTCTGCTGTCAGTTTTGATAACAAACAGAAACGGTGAGGAGGAGGAGTCTGTTAGATTGTAATATTTCTCCACAAACCATTTTCCTGATATTTCTGAATGAAATGCCGACTTTGCTACATCCAACCACAGTAGAAAAAACAAGCCACACCCACTGTTTTCCCATTTAATATTCAATTTTTCTAGCAACTGTGTCACAATATGGGAAAAAAAGGTTGCAGCTTCCTGTTCAAGCAGACTTAAAAAAAAAAAACTGTAGTTTTACCTCCCGGAGCTCCCACTTCTGCTGCGGGCTTGTGATGGTGTTGTGGCCTTTATACTGACACTCCTCTAAGCGGACCATCGCTCCATCAGTTCCATCTAAACACAGCTCCTTCTGGATGTTGTGTCTGATCTCGTGATGCGTGGAGTACTCAAAATACTGTAGGAGCAGAGCAGAGAAATGACCTTCAGCATTCACTCAACATTTCATTAAAACTGATAAAGATGCCTCCACTGAGGTTCTGGAAGGCATACGGCATCAGGGGAGCTCATTAAAATGAGATTTATGATGTACCTTACAAATGCCATTCATGCTTGTGTTAAAACTAAACAGTGCAAAAAGGGAAGAACAGATTTTTGGTAAATTAATTAGGGGAGATGCATTTTGGTTTTGTTTCACCATAGAAAGTAGTTGCATGACTTATGAATACAATGTGTGAATTGTATAAAATGTTTCATGTTGGTATTTCTACTGTTTAGTGTATCAATTGTTCCATTTTAGGGATGGATGGACATACGGATAGAGGGATAGATCGACATATGGATAGAGGGATGGACGGACGGACGGACAGACGGACGGACGGACGGACAGACGGACAGACGGACAGACGGACAGACGGACAGACGGACAGACGGACAGACGGACAGACGGACGGACAGACGGACAGACGGACAGACGGACAGACGGACAGACGGACAGACGGACAGATAGATAGATAGATAGATAGATAGATAGATAGATAGATAGATAGATAGATAGATAGATAGATAGATAGATAGATAGATAGATAGATAGATAGATAGATAGATAGATAGATAGATAGACAGATAGATAGTAAAATAATAGACAGATGTAAAATAAAATGAAAAATGTAATACTTAATAAAAACTAATAAAATAATACTTAATAAAAAAGAAATAGAAGACAAAAATATATTTAATTAAATAAAAATAGAAATTAAAAACAAATTTTAACAACCTAAACACTTTAAAGCTAAAACTTTTACCTGACACAATATATATATATATAATTAAAATCCACACTGGTTTTATCAATCTTTAAGTAAACAAAAAATTAAGAAAGTAAATGAAAAGAATAAAAACAGCGTCATTTTATTTAACTATGATTTTTTGCACCAAATCTAAAATAAATTAATTAATAAATAGATGAAAATTTTTTTTAAATAAATGCTGAAATGAAATAGTTCGAAATAAAAAAAGAACACAAAAAGAAGAACAATAGTAAAATAAAGTTATTAAAATTACAAAATAAATATATATTTTTTGCAAATTATGTTTAAAAATCTGTATTAAAAAGGGAAAAAGAATTTCGGAGGCCAAACTGACTTTATATTATATGAGAATTATAATATATAAACACTGAATTACTTCAATTCTTACTATTCTGAATTTAATTTAATTTGATCAAATAAATAAATATAAAAGATAAAATTAGCTTGTTTTAATGTAAAATAAAATACTTCATGAAAGTACTAAAATAATACTTAATAAAAAGAAAAGAGGAAAACCAAAAAATAAAATTAAATAAAATTAAAAGATAAAAGTAAAAACAAATTCAAACAACCTAAACTATTTAACTTAAACATTTTACCTGACACAATTTATTATTACTATTATTATTATTATTATATTAAAATATACACAGGTTTTATTTACCTTTAAATGAACAAGACATGAAAAAGTAAATGAAAAGAATAAAAAACCCATTTTATTTAACTATGACTTTTTTTAACCAAATCTAAAATAAATTTATAAACAAAAAAAATTAAAAAGAAATAAAAAAGAAAGAGCTTTAGGTGCCATTTTATCAGTACTCTTGATTTATTGGCAGGACAAACTGTTCCTGCTCCAATTACCTGGTTTCCTCCCATCCCATGGCAGGGGTACATGATGAGAGGCTTCCCTCCCTCATTACTCTCACCCACGTCCAGACAGGCTTCCTTCCCCATGTTCCTGATCTGAAGAAGAACCAAGAGCAGATCAGCTGTACAAACACCAAAACTGCACAAATGCTGATTATACTACTGCAGTTCTGACACTGACACATTATGCTAAAAAAAGACAGGGGAACAGGTAGACAGCATTCATTCAAAATACAATATTAAAACGCATAATATGGCAGATTTTTTCATTAAAATATCCAAAAAAAATAATGGAACAGAGTTATATATTTGTGATGTATTTTGACTTGCGTACTTATATCACTATCTAGTTAACTACATGCTTATGATGTCACACATCAAGGATTTCTGCTTTGGTTTTATAGAAAACAGGGAAACACTAAAGAGACTTTAATATGTTGTGTGTTTATTAGTCTGCACAGATCAGCATTATAACAAAAGCTATGATTGTATTTTATCTAATAAAACAGCACTGCTGCTGTATGCCATATGATCATGAGATGAAGATGCTCTGCAATCAGCAATTGCTTCAGCGCTTCTAAGAGTTATCGGCCAAAAATCCTGTATCGGACAGATTTAGATTTTGCAATCATGCAGAAAAATCCGAACAATGTTTATATAACGGCTATCTGCCTCCAAATCTGAAGAGTTATCAGTTATCGTATCAGTCAAAAATTCTGTATCAGTGTATCCAATAATAACCCGATATCGGCCAATAAATATTGGTGAACGATACAAAAGTGCTTTATTATACTGCAAAATGAGGCATCATAACAATGCACTAATGAATCGCCAAACATTCTGTATTGGTGTATGCAATAATATCTCCATATCAGCCAATAAATATTGGTGGATGATTCAATAGTGCATTATTATACTGAAAAATGAGGCATCATAATAATGCACTGATGAATTGCCAAAAATTCTGTATTAATGCATTTAATAATAACCTGATTTCCGCCAATAAATATTGGTGGATGATTCATTAATGCATTATTATAATGTAAAATGAGGCATCATAATAATGCACTGATGAATCGCCAAAAATTCTGTACCAGTGCATCCAATAATAACCCGATATCGGCCAATAAATATTGTGTGATGATTCAAGAGTGCATTATTATAATGTAAAATGAGGCATTATAATAATGCACTGATGAATCGCCAAGAATTCTGTAACAGTGCATCCAATAATAACCCGATATCGGGCAATAAATATTGGGTGATGATTCAAGAGTGCATTATTATAATGTAAAATGAGACATCATAATAATGCACAAATGAATCGCCAAAAATTCTGTACCAGTGCATCCAATAATAACCCGATATCGGCCAATAAATATTGGGTGATGATTCAAGAGTGCATTATTATAATGTAAAATGAGGCATCATAATAATGCACAAATGAATCGCCAAAAATTCTGTACCAGTGCATCCAATAATAACCCGATATCGGCCAATAAATATTGGGTGATGATTCAAGAGTGCATTATTATAATGTAAAATGAGGCATTATAATAATGCACTGATGAATCGCCAAGAATTCTGTAACAGTGCATCCAATAATAACCCGATATCGGGCAATAAATATTGGGTGATGATTCAAGAGTGCATTATTATAATGTAAAATGAGACATCATAATAATGCACAAATGAATCGCCAAAAATTCTGTACCAGTGCATCCAATAATAACCCGATATCGGCCAATAAATATTGGGTGATGATTCAAGAGTGCATTATTATAATGTAAAATGAGGCATTATAATAATGCACTTATGAATCGCCAAGAATTCTGTAACAGTGCATCCAATAATAACCCGATATCGGCCAATAATTATTGGTGGATGATTCATAAGTGCATTATTATAATGTAAAATGAGGCATTATAATAATGCACTGATGAATTGCCAAGAATTCTGTAACAGTGCATCCAATAATAACCCGATATCGGCCGATGATTTTGGTGGATGATTCATTAGTGCATTATTATAATGTAAAATGAGGCATTATAATAATGCACTAATGAATCGCCAAACATTCTGTGTTAGTGCATTTAATAATAACCCGATACCGGCTAATAAATATTGGTGGATGATTCAATAGTGCATTATTATAATGTAAAATGAGGCATTATAATAATGCACTGATGAATCGCCAAACATTCTGTGTTAGTGCATCCAATAATATCTCCATATCAGCCAATAAATATTGGTGGATGATTTAATAGTGCATTATTATAATGTAAAATGAGGCATCATAATAATGCACTAATGAATCGCCAAATATTCTGTATTAATGCATTTAATAATAACCCGATACCGGCTAATAAATATTGGTGGATGATTCAATAGTGCATTATTATAATGTAAAATGAGGCATTATAATAATGCACTAATGCACTTAGGCAAATAAGTAGTCCTTATGGCTGCTTGACAGCTGTTATTCTTTAAAGTAGATGTAATGTTAAAAAATTAAATACCTCATGCAACGTTTTCACATTTTTTACATGTAGTTATTTTGCAGACATTGTTATCCATTTGTTTCCTTATATAAAGAAGTCATGGATGATTTTCAATATTGATTTGATCATTCAGATTATTTGATTTGCAATATCTGTCCTAGAACCTCTAATGTTGTGAAAGATTATAATCATAATCAAATACGGTGACTGTATTGTATGTTGAGTTAAACTCCAGACTCACCGCACCGAACTGCAACGGGTTGAGATCAGGCATGAAGACCTCTGGATAAACGTTCTTCAAATACCAGGAAAAGCTCTTACACTGGAGCCTTTCCCGGAGATCCACACGCCTGGAGACGTCTCCGAACGAGTGCTGGAGAGAAAGAGAAACTACAGTATTATCAGGACATCAGAGAAACATTCTATCAAATCTTTGAGCTCACTTACGCAGAATTTACAAAGTTAAACAATAAAAACAACTTCAATATTAGGTGAAAAGACAGATTGTATCCTACTAGCAGCAAATAATAATAATTAATAATAATAATATTCATTTGTTTTATTATGTTAATAATACTTAATTAAATACATTCTGTAAACTGTTTATTATTTGTTTACTTTATTTATTCATGTAAGTATGTATGCATGTATTAATTAAATTATGCTTTTGCTGTGATATGAAAGCACATACAAGTAGAATAAATACATTTATGAATATACTTAAAAGGGCCAGTAAGCTGTACCTCTTTTGCGATTTGAGCGGCCTGCTGGTTCCTCCGGTAAAAGATCTCTTTATAGTCATCCATCCAGACCTCGGCCAGACGCACCTGGTTGCGAGCGATCACCTGTGTGCCTTTAGGGAAAGTGTGTGGACTCTTAGTGCGAAACACGTGGCCGACGACTGAACACGGGATGATTTCTAGCTGTCCGCCACACTGCCACACCTAAAGGTCAAGAGCAGCAAATCACGACTAGAAAAAACAGCAGATGATATGACTTGAAATAGAAGAGCTGTTTTAAAGGTCATGTGAGATACTTTGAAATGTGCATTTCCTATTAGAAATTGTGTATAATCTGAATTGAAACACAAAGAGAGAGTGGGGCTGTAGCTCCTCTCCTTTTGTAAAACAGCCAATAGCATTTTGAGCTCAAGTGCATCAATGAAGAGCAAATGAAAAGTGTCTTAAAGGGAACGGGACATGTCAGATACTTGGAAGGATTTGATTGGTTAGAACAGGGGTGCCCAAACTCTGTCCTGGAGGGCCGGTGTCCTGCAGATTTTCACTTCAACCCCAATTAAACACACATGATGCTAATCAAGCTAATCAAGTTCTATCTTGGCATACTAGAAACTTCCAGGCAGGTGTGCTGAGGCAAGTTGGAGCTATATGGAGGGCACCGGCCCTCCAGGACCAAGTTTGGGCACCCTTGGGTTAGAAGATCTGATGAGAAACTGGCGTATGAGGTGATGTAAAAAAAAATAGTTGATCTATTTAGACCAGGGGTGATCAACTCTGTTCCTGGAGATCTACCTTGCTGCAGAATTTAGCTCCAACCCTAATCAAACACAACTAAACCAACTTGAAGGAGCACTTGGTAATTAAAGTCAGGTGTGTTTGATCAAGGTTGCAGCTAAAAATCTGTAGAAAGGTAGATCTCCAGAAACAGGGTTGGGCACCCATGATTTAGACGAAAGTGACAAACCGCAAGCTCTGGATGTATATATATACTTACAAATGTAATTTATACTTTTGGTCTATATATATATATATATATATATATATATATATATATATATATACACACTCATACATACAGTGCATCCGAAAAGCAATCATAGCGCTTCACTTTTTCCACATTTTTTTATGTTACAGTCTTATTCCAAAATGGATTAAATTCATTTATTTCCTCATAATTCTACACACAACAACCCATAATGACAATGTGAAAAAAGAGTTTTTGAAATTGTTGCAAATTTATTAAAAATAAAAAAGCTGAAAAAAAAAAAAAAAAAAAAAAAAAAAAAAAAATCGCATGAACAGAAGTATTCTAAATTGAGCTCAGGCACATTCTGTTTCCACTGATCATTCTTGAGAGGTTACAGCAGCTATTTTAGGGTGCTTTCACACCTACACTTTTGTATCGGAACGTATCTCGTTTGCCCAGTTAGCGCGGTTCGTTTGGCATATGTGAACAGGTCAATCGCACTCTGTTCCGCGCCAAAGTAATTGCTCCGAGATCACTTGAATGAGGTGGTCTCGGCTCGATTGAAACGAACCCTGGAGCGGTTCGATTGTAGTGAGAAAGCGATCCAATCCGAGCGTGGTTGTATCACTGTGTTTTATGGATATGTAATTGGCATACGGCTATATGAAGAGAGAATTATGAGTGGGGTGGGAAGTTTCGCGAGTCTCCGGATGCCCGCAAACGAGTGATGATCTCCCGGTAATCTCGCGTCTCACTCCAGGTCCTCAAATAGGCATCGTCGCGCACCCTTCTCACCCCTCCCCACCGCATCTCTCCTCAGACAGGTCGCTCGCGCGCGCGCACCCTGTCAATTACCACCAAACCACCACCTCTCCTGACAGCTTAGCGGGACGCTGCAAAATAAACCCTGACACTCTGACCAATGTAAGGAGAGTTTACTCGCACATGACTTGTTTTAGCTCTTTTGGTACGATTAGAAACTTTGCAGTGTGAAAGCGAACCGCACCAAGAGCAAAGAGCAACAATGTAACATTTGTAATCTCTGTTTCGGAACAACTGAATCGATTCACAGGTGGGAAAGCACCCTTAGAGTTCACCTGTGGTCAATTCAGTTGATTGGACATGATTTGAAAAGGCATACACCTGTCTATATAAGGTCCCAGGGTTGACAATGCATGTCAAAGCACAAACCAAGCATGAAGACAAAGGAATTTTCTGTAGACCTCCGAGACAGGATTGTCTAGAAGCACAAGGCTGGGGAAGGTTACAGAAAAAATTCTGCTGTTCTGAAAGTTCAATGAGCACAGTGGCCTCCATCATCCGTAAGTGGAAGATGTTTGCAACCACCAGGACTCTTCCTAGAGCTGGCCGGCCATCTAAGCTGAGTGATTGAGGGAGAAGGGCCTTAGTCAGTGAGGCGATCAATAACCTGATGGTCACTCTGTCTGAGCTCCAGCGTTCTTCTGTGAAGAGAGGAGATACTTAGAGAAGGACAACCATCTGTGCAGCAATCCACCAATCAGGCCTGTACAGTTAAGTGGCCGGATGGAAGCCACTCACCACCTGGAATTTGCCAAAAGGCATCTGAAGGACTCTCAGACCATAAGAAACTAAATTCTCTGCTCTGATGAGACTAAAATTGAACTCTTTGGAGTGAATGCCAGGCATTAAGTTTGAAGAAAACCAGGCACCGCTCATCACCAGACTAATAACATCCCTACAATGAATCATGGTGGTGGCAGCATCATGCTGTGGGGATGTTTTTCAGCAGCAGGAACTGGAAGACTAGTCAGGATAGAGGGAAGGATGAATGCAGCAATGTACAGAGACATCATAAATGAAAACCTGCTTCAGAGTGCTCTTGACCTCAGACTGGGGCGACGGTTCATCTTCCAAAAGGACAATGACCCAAAGCACACCGCCAAAATATCAATGGAGTGGCTTCACAACAACTCTGTGAATGTCCTTGAGTGGCCCAGCCAGAGCCCAGACCTAAATCCTATTGAACATGATTTAGAAATCCTATCTGAAAATGACTGTACGCCGTCGCTTTCCATCCAACCTGACAGAGCTAATGCAAAGAGGAATGGCAAAAATTCCCAAAGACAGGTGTGCCAAGCTTGTGGCATCATATTCAAAAAGACTTGAGTCTGTAATTGCTGCCAAAGGTGCATCAGCAAAGTGTTGAGCAAAGGCTGTGAATACTGATGTACATGTGATTTTTCAGCTTTTTTATTTTCAATAAATTTGCAACAATTTCAAAAACTCTTTTTTCACATTGTCATTATGGGGTATTGTGTGTAGAATGTTGAGGAAATAAATGAATGTAATCCATTTTGAAGAAGGCTGTAACAAAAAAATGTGGAAAAAGTGAAGCGCTATGAATACTTTCCGGATGCACTGTACATATATATATATATACATGAATGTGGATTCAGCACATCCTTATTGAATAAGTACATTTACTTATTCCAAACACTTGAACAGTACTGTACATGCACTAAAGAGTAATAAGAATAAGAATATAATAATAATAATAATAATAATAATAATAATAATAGATATAAATATAATAGTAATAATAATAATAATAATAATAATAATAATAATAATAGATATAATAATAATAGATATAATAATAATAATAATAATAATAATAATAATAATAATAATAATAATAATAATAATAATAATAATAATAATTTATGTTATTCATGATGCACTTTTCTTAAACAAACAGAACTACCACGTATACAAAACAAAAATAAGAATACAACTAAAATCTCCATAATAACCTTGCATAATAAAACCTTAATAATTCAAACCACAACAATCAGTAAAAAAATAATCAAGCAAAATAAACATGAAATGAGTTTGGACTTACTCTGAAGGACATCTCAATGTTTTCTCCTCCCCAAATCTCCATCTCCTCGTCATAGCTTCCTATGTGGTAGAAATAATCTCTGGAAATGGAGAACAATCCACCTGCGAATGTCGGCGTCCTGTGAAAGTGAACATGAATACAGTATAAATGTTTCTTCTGTTTTATAGATGGTCATTAGACAGAAAATGAGTGAAATGTGTGTTGCTCCCAAGTGTGTGTGGGTGTGTGATAATAAAAACAACATTTAAATCAAACAACAAGCCATGAGTAGAATAAAATCTATTTACTCTCTCAGTAAAAAAAGCATTTACAGAACAGCCCTGCAGCTTCTAAACTTTATTTCCCGCTAAACACAGTAGGAAAACATACAGGAATGAATGAAATGTTAAATAAATTAAAATAGAAAACAGCTATTCTACAATTTCATAATATTTCACAATGTTGCTACTGTATTTCTGACGAAACGGTGAACACATGTGAGTGTTACACATTCTGTAAGCTTTTTTTTAAATTCAGCAACATTTAACAGTAACGCCTCAAATATTAACATTAATACATCTAAAGCATTTCTTAGTTAATTTGAAAAATTATTGATTTTTTGTTTTTAACAAATTAATATTTGTTACTTATTTTGTTACTATTTGATAATTAGGGCTCAGCTAACAACAATTTTAAAACACTGTAACATTTGCATTGTTCAATGTGGGGTTTATTATATTTGAAAATATCTAAATCCACAAAACTGAAAACTATTTAATTGCTTGTCATTAAATAAATAATTGTATAATACATATATTACTATTTATATATTATATTATTAATATTATATGTAAATATTATAATATAGCCATTTCGAGGGATGCAAACAAAAACAATGGTCCCAACGTATTTCCTGTTTTACATTTTTTCATTTCTATATCTTCCAAGCAAAAAGAGCCCCATATTCAAAAATAATGCTATAACAGCTGTTTTAGAATTAAGTTATGATTGAATTGCATCTTGTTACAGTAATGAAATAATTTGATAACAGCTAGGAAATGTTCATGGGCCAATGACACATTGAAATGGTCTATATTATATTAATATATTATAAAATAAACATTTTATATTAAACTATTAAAAATATCTATCAAATCTAAAAATATTTTAACCAAGAAATACCTCACATACAAAATACAAAAACTACATGTAGCAAAATACAATTAACTAAAGGGAAAAGTGTGTGTTTGTATAATATGTTTAGATATACAGTCGAAGTCAGAATTATTAGCCCCCTTGTTTATTTTTCCCTGATTTCTGTATAAAAAAATAAGAAACAGGGGGGCTAATAATTCTGACTTCAACTGTGTGTGTGTGTGTATTCATTTTCTTTTCGGCTTTAGTCCCTTTATTAATTCGGTGTCGCCACAGCGGAATGTACCACCAACTTATCCAGCACGATTTACAAAGTGGATGCCCTTCCAGCCGCAACCCATTTCTAGAAAACCTCCACACACACCCATTCACATTCGTACACTATGCACAATTTAGCCTACTCAATTCACCTGTACCGCATGTCTTTGGACTGTGGGGGAAACCGAAGCACCCGGAGGAAACCCACGCAAAAACAGGGAGAACATGCAAACTCCACACAGAAACGCCAACTGACCCAGTCGAGGCTCAAACCAGCGACCTTCTTGCTGTGAGGCGACAGCACTACCTACTGCGCCACTGTGTCGCCATATATATATATATAAACAATAATATGGCTTAGTAATACTAAAATTCCTTCATGGTCTCCTAACACAAATTAATTAAGATAACTTAATTGTTTTTACCAATTTACTTAGATTGACCAAAAAAAAAATTAAGCTGTCCTCAAGAACCTCCTTACTTAATAGGGTACGTCTCATCCTTGCGTCTACGCCTCTCATGATCAGGAAGAGTCTCCCAGCCGAAGGAAAGACCCCAGTCGAAGTTCCCCCTGTTATGATGCTGTCCGTACGGCGAGGGTTTCATGAACTCAAATGTGTTCAGGTCAATGGTGGTGATGTCCGGACTCACGACAGCGCTCGAGTTCTCTGCTATCCTGGCCAACAGCGGCTCGAGCCATCCGTGGAAACATTCACCTGAAAAAGCCAAGCAGAAACAAAATAATAAGAGTAATATTTAATCTCCACCATAGACGAGCTATTTTCCAATCATAGTTGCGAGTTAAATTTATGCGCAAAAAATGTAATATTGCATAAAACATTTGAAAATGGATGCCAATTACTGCATCAATATCAATTATTAGCAAAATCTGTTTTAAAATTCAAAACAATATAGAAAAATATTATATAATAAATAATATTATTAAACAGGGTGACATGGTGGCTTAGTGATTAGTACAGTTGCCTCACAGCAAGAAGGTCGCTTGTTCAAGTCCCAGCTGGGTCAATTGGCATTTCTGTGTGGAGTTTGCATGTTCTCCCCGTGTTGGCGTGGGTTTCCTCTGGGGCTCCAGTTTCCCCCAGAGTCCAAAAACATGTGCTATATGTGAGAATAAACTAAATAAACATATTCTGGATAAGTTGGCGGTTCAGTCCGCTGTAGCCAAAAGAAAATGAATATCATTAAACAAAAAAAATTAATAAATAAATTACAAGTGTGGTTCCTAAACAGAATATGCTTGACATTAAAATCCTACAACCTGCCAAATGCAGGTAGATTTCAGCTGTGGCTGGTTAGACGATCACTAGCCACTTTTGCTGGTTGAAGATCATTTTTAAACTGTAGCTTTCTTAAAAAAAAAAAAAAAAAAAATCAATAATAAGGATGACCCGGTGCCAGCATGAGAGATGACAATAATAACTAGATTATTAAAGTTCGTCGAGACAAACTTTAGGCTGGCTTGAGAAAGTCTGTTGGAAATAGTTTGTTTAGTTTAAACAGTTTTAAAAAGTATGAAAAGATAGATAGATAGATAGATAGATAGATAGATAGATAGATAGATAGATAGATAGATAGATAGATAGATAGATAGATAGATAGATAGATAGATAGATAGATAGATAGATAGATAGATAGATAGATAGATAGATAGATAGATAGATAGATAGATAGATAGATAGATAGATAGATAGATAGATAGATAGATTAAAACAGTTTATGGATGGATGGATGGATGGATGGATGGATGGATGGATGGATGGATGGATGGATGGATGGATGGATGGATGGATGGATGGATGGATAGATAGATGGATAGATAGATGGATAGATAGATGGATAGATAGATAGATTAAAACAGTTTATGGATGGACGGACGGACGGACGGACGGACGGACGGACGGACGGACGGACGGACGGACGGACGGACGGACGGACGGACGGACGGACGGACGGACGGACGGACGGACGGACAGACAGACAGACAGACAGACAGACAGACAGACAGACAGACAGACAGACAGACAGATAGATAGATAGATAGATAGATAGATAGATAGATTTGAGGTCACAAAGTTAGATCTAATGTTAAGTCAATGACAGTCGTTTGCAATGGAAGTCTTTGGGGCAGTTGCTAGGGTACAGTATCTGGTAGTTAGGGGTGTGGCTAGAAAGTTAAAAGCTCATCAGTTATTGGACATGTTCAATACATATTTTCCCCACTGTATATATATATATAAAACCCTAACATGTCCTTTGAAGTTTGCACAATCATCTTTGTTTTCAGACTTGTATGGAGAATAATACCGCCTTAGGCCACAGAATACTCTCAAATACTTTTAATTATTTACTCTGATAAATAAACATAGCTGATATTAATAAATAAAACCATATTCTACATCAATTTGGGCAGTTTTTACATTCTGACTGACAGTTTCCCCATCAACCACTCCAGCGGAGGACAAAAACACTTTAAAATAACTCCATGAATGTTTAACAAGCCCAAACTCAGACAGAATTAAATAGCATCAGATTCTTTCCAGCAGCTCCAACTGACCACAGGCTTGTTATAAAAGCTGTGATTTTATTAAAAGGCGAGCCCTATTAATGTGAATCCAGCAACACATGTGTGTGGGAGTGATCCGCTCTTTAAAATGCCTCAGAAACTGAATGTGAATGGCATTAATGCATTAATTTATTTTTAAAAAGTAACATAATACTTCTACAGCATTTCTCAATCTTAGTTAATTTAAACAATTATTGATTTATAGTTTTTATTAAATTAATATTTGTTTCTTATTTTATTACTATTTGATTATTAAGGCTGAGCTAACATAACTACATAAGGTTTATTACTACATTATTAGCAATAATGTATTAGCAAACAACAATAAACAAATAAAACTGTAACAATATTACAGTATTATATTACAAGAAAAACACTTTAAAATAACACAATGAATGTTTAACAAAAAAAATTAAATGTTATAAATTTACATCTCAAACTGTGATTTGGTTTAAAAGTTATCTGACTAGAAGGAGGCAATGTGTATTTTATAATGGAAGTTATTCGGAAGTGAAAGATGTGGTGTGCAATGTGGTGTGCCTCAAGGAAGTTGTTTAGGACCATTGTTGTTTTCTATTTTTACCAACGATCTTCCTTTGGTTTTAAAGCATGCGAGGGCAGATATGTACGCAGATGATACAACATTATATCTACCAGCGGCATCGATAGAAAAATTACCTGCTGATTTAGATACATTTAGTTACATTTAGTAGTAGAGTGGGTACAGAATAATAAGTCATTTTAAATTTGACAATAACCAAAAGTATTGTGTTTGGATCAAACTCTCAATTCAAATGTATAGCACAGTTAAATTTGTCTGTAATGAGTGTGCCTATTGAACAGGTAGAGGACATTAGACTTCTTGGAGTTCTTCTTGATAGTAGGTTAAAGTGGTCAAAACAGATCGATAAAATGGTAATTGTTATGGGAAGAGGTTTATCAATTATTAAGAGATGTGTAGAATTTTTACCACATTGCTGTATCTCTCAAATTGTTCAGGCAATTGTTCTTTCTTATATAGATTACTGTCCAGTGGTATGCAGGCCCGGATTGGCTAATCGGGAGGACCGGGAGAATTCCCGGTGGGCCGGTCCGTTTTTTGGCCGCAAGGGCCGGTGTCCCTAGCTCCAGAATCTGTTGCTCTCAGCAATCACACTTTTTAAATTTATTTATTTACTTGACCACAGCCTTTTTATTCATTATTATACCGCAACTCTTCTCTTTTGATCTATTTTAATGATGATAAAACTCAGTTGTGTCATCATCCATAAAACGGTTGTTGTGGTCGAGCGGATAGCACGTTAGGTTAAGACGCCACGGACCCGGGTTCGATCCTCTTTAGAGTAATTTAGTGTTTTCATTTTTATTTATAAGACATATAATACTGTTAGGATTGTTGAACATTTGAAGTTCTAAAGCAGCTGTTTTCTCAAAAAAAAAAAAAAAAACATGATAGTGTCATTAGAAACTGATTTGGAAATATTTATTTATTTACTTATTTTAATATAGTCAGTCGTGAACTGAGGTGGGCCGGTCTGAGGCTTAAAACTCCAGAGCTGAAAAGGTGTCCCACTCCGGCCCTGGTGGTATGGTCCAAGTGCATCAAGTAGAGAATTGTATAAGTTACAGTTAGTCCAAAATAGAGCGGCACGACTCATTTTACACTGCAATAGAAGAGTTAATATTATGAAAATGCATAAAACTTTAGGTTGGTTATTGGTGAAGGATAGGGGAATTGTTTCTCTGCTGAGTTTCATAGGAAATATTTCTGTGTCAAGAGGTCCAAATGTATTGTACTGTCAACTTTTGTATGGTAATGCTAGTCATTATTTTAACACCAGGCATGGTTTTAAAGGAATGTTTTTGCTTCCCATTTCAAAAAGTAATGCAAAGCAACACACTGTAATGTATAGAGGAATGAAAACATGGAATGAATTGCCATCAGACATTACATGCTTTGTAACAAGTAAAATGAGGTTTAAAAATCGTTTAAGACTGAAGTTAAGGGGATCGTGGAAAAGCTCCTTAAAGTGAATCTCTCTTGGGAGCCTTTAACGTTTTTACTGGATAAATTTCCAGAGGATCTGTCCCATGATCAGGAAACTTTGCTACATCTCCTGCTAATGGCTGCAAGAAAAAATATAACAATTAAATGGTTTAAACCTGAACCACCCACGGTTTCACAGTGGATACAAAATATCAGACAGTTATATTCAATGGAACAGTTGACAGCACAAATACAGCTGCAGACTCAAATCTTTGAAAGAAGATGGGGACCAGTTCAAAGCCTCATTGGATAGGTCACTTATGTCTCTAAGTTTGTATTTTTGCTTGAAGTTTGTCTATTTACTTTTATTTATTTATTTTTATTTTTTCCTCAGATCTATATTGTCATTATATATATCTTTATTTGTATGCTCGGGCCCAATCTCAGGACTGTTCTTATTACTGTTTGTATTTATGTCGACTGCTGTCAATAAAAGTTAAAAAAAAAAAAAAAATGTTTAAGAAATATTTAATGGCACAATATAAACTGGATTGTTGATCTAGATGTTATGTATGAACTTTGTATTTTAATGTTTTTATTGGTCTTTGTTGTTATGTATTAATGTAATTTTGTGTTGTGTTCGATGGACCCCAGGAAGAAAAGCCACTATCTTTCGGATGAGACGTTAAACCGAGGTCCTGACTCTCCGTGGTCATTAAAAATCCCAGGATGTCCTTCGAAAAAAAAGTGGAGGTTTAACCCCGGCATCCTGGCCAAATCTGCCCACTGGCCTCTGTCTATTATGGCCTCCTAACCCTTCCCAAATCATAATTGGCTTCATCACTCTCTCTCCTCTCCACCAATCTGCTGGTGTGTGGTGTGCGGTCTAGCACAAAATGGCTGCCGGCGCATCATCCAGGTGGATGCTGCACACTGGTGGTGGATGAGGAGATTCCCCCCCATTGTGTAAATCGCTTTGAGTGCCCAGATAAGCGCTATATAAATATAAGGAATTATTATTATTATTATTATTATTATTATTATTATTATTATTACTACTACCTAGCAGTGGCTAATGGGGATCCTGATAAATAAAAAAATAAAACAGGCCCAAACTAAGTATTAAAAAGCTTCAGATTCTTATATAGATTCTGTACTTTTCCTCTACTTGCATTACAATTTTGGGTAAGCAATGGTACTTTCACTTAAATGGGATTTTCCAGTACTCTTTCCACCACTGTGTGGGAGTGATCTGCTCTTTAAAAGTCCTCCGAGACTGAATGTGAATGGCAGTGTGTTGGGATACTCACAGTGGGCATCCAGGAAGGTGAGAGTGTCTCCTGTGGCCACAGAGGCCCCAAGGAGCCTCGCAGTGATTAATCCTTTACGCTCATGCTGACGGACCACACGCACAATGTGCAGCTGCTTCAGAAACTCGTCCAGTTTATCCTTTAGATGCTCTGAGAGAGACACAAACGTCAAACAATATCATGTAAATGATGTTGAATAATGGAAGTCATGTCTTCTGCACTGCAACGAGCTTCAGATAAAATCCACACACATGCTAGATGAAAACAAAGAAATTTATCAGATAAATGTTTAATATTTTGAATTTTTTAATTTTTAACAGTTCACCTGTAAAAACATGTACTCATTGTTTAGTGTTTTCAAACTTTCATGAGTACTTTCTTCAGTCAGAATCTTGTGAACATTAACCCTCTGGGGTCTGACGGTGTTTTGGGCCTCTGGAGAAGTTTTGACACGCACTGACATTTGTGTTGTTTTCAGTATCTTAAAAACATATTAATGGCTAAAGTGTGATAACACTGTAAACAGCACAAGTTGGGCTACAATCATACCTAAGCAGCATGTTTGTATGTGTTTGTGTTTTTGAGAAAGAAACGTTTATGCGTGGTTTGTGAAAAACTACAATTTTGAAGTCACTAAAACAAGGCCGTGAAACACACAGAGAACATTTGTGCACAAGACTTTTGAGAACTGGATCTGATAGTCTAGTGTTTTTGCTTCTAAATGATGTGAGAAACATCTTGTTCACTTGCTCACAGAAAACAATACAATGAATTAAAAATTCTAAGTCACTTTCTGTTTGAAAATGGTTTATGCGAGAAGGCGTGAACTATCATTACTATGCAGTGAGTCACACCTGAGAAGACAAATACCTGCATATTTTTTTTTTTTTTTTTTTTAGATTAGATTCAACTTTATTGTCATTACATATGTACAAGTACAATGCAATGAAATGCAGTTTAGGTCAATAGCAGCAAGTGCAGGATACAGGAATAAGTTATAAAGTGCAGTTATAGAAAACTATGGTGATATTTACAGATGGATGTACTATGAACATTATATACAGGTTGGATAAGCTATGAACAGATTTACAATATATGAATATATGTGCAGGTTGCTATTAATAATCAGTAGTGTGCAGATAAATAAACATGATTACAAGTGTATATGTTACAATATATGAATATATGTACAGGGATAGATGAACATGATTACAAGTGTATATGTTACAATATATGAATATATGTGCAGGTTGCTATTAATAAACAGTAGTGTTCAGATAGATAAACATGATAACAAGTGTATATGTTACAATATATGAATATATGTACAGGTTGCTATTAATAGTCAGTAGTATGCAGATGAATAAGCATGATTACAAGTGTATATGTTACAATATATGAATATATGTACAGGGATAGATGAACATGATTACAAGTGTATATGTTACAATATATGAATATATGTACAGGGATAGATGAACATGATTACAAGTGTATATGTTACAATATATGAATATATGTACAGGGATAGATGAACATGATTACAATTGTATATGTTACAATATATGAATATATGTACAGGTTGCTATTAATAGTCAGTAGTATGCAGGTAAATAAGCATGATTACAAGTGTATATGTATAGTGGGTGTGTACATAATTACAAATGCATAATGAGCTGCATAATAAGCCATCAGACAGGTATGTGACTAAGAGTTTCAAGAAAGAATCTGAGAAAAAAATTAATTTATTTGTATATATTTTTTTGTTTGCAGTTTATTTAAAATATATTTAACTATCACACAAAATAACTCGATACTAGTAAACCTAATAAACTCAGTTACCACATAGGAATTTGAAACAGAACAGCACCTGTATTGTAAACAAGTATTTATTTTTCCATAGTAGCAAAAACAAAAGCTGCATCCCAAATGGCACACTATACACTATGCACTATGTACTTATGCACTTACACACTCAACAGCAGAGTATTTGTATGTAGAGTCGTCCACTGATGACGTTTGGCTGTGGCCAAATTAGTAAAAATAAATGAACAAAGTACCAAATAATACCTGCCATAAGTATTACCGCATTCTCCATCGTGAGGCTCTGAAATCACTCGCATAGGAGAATTTCGCTTTCACAATCCAACATAAATAAAGTCTCCAGCACGTGACCCCGATAGCTCTGCCCCTTTCGCTACATGAGCAAAGCAGCGGTCGTTGAGCGCATAAAGTGTCCATCATTCTACACTTCATTTTACCGGTCGAATGGGTGCACCAATTATTTTTTGTATTTTTATCTGCTTGTTAGGTGGTGACGTGTTTGTGACGTATGTGATACAGTTTCCGGGTCCAAGCCGCCATTCATTTGAGTGGAGAAATCATTCGTTTATGATCACGTTTTATTCCTATCACACATTAAAGTTAATTTTATATAAAATCATTGTGTACACAACAATCTCTGGGCTTGCTGCATAACAAAAATGTAACCTTTTTTAAAAAAAATGAATCACTTTCTTGCCATCGGATATTAGGCATGGACATATATATAGCGATCGTGATTTTCGAAAGTATTAAATTGCTTTGTAAACGTTTAATATTACCATTTCATGAGTCTCCCCATTCAGTTGAATAGAGCACTTGGACCCGGATGGCCCTTCGCGTGACGTCACACTTAACAAGCGGATTGTGAACGCACTACAATACTACAAAATGGCCTAGAATAGTGCATAAGTATGCGATTTGAGATGCACCTTAACACTACAGAAATTAATGGTTGCCAGCATTTTTCAAAATATCTTCTTTTGTGTTCAACAGAAGACAAACAGGTGAGTAGATGAAGACAGACAGAATTTAAAGTTTTAGGTGAACCATGCTTTTGAGATTTTATTTCGCATGGATACATCAGATTGATCAAATGTACAAAATACAAATATTATTGTATTATCAATAAAATACCAAAAAAATATATATATATATATATATATATATATATATATATATATATATACATATATATATATATATATAGGTGATGCTAGTGCTGTCGCCTCACAGCAAGAAGGTCGCTGGGTCGATCCTCGGTTCAGTTGGTGTTTCTATGTGGAGTTTGCATGTTCTCCCTGCGTTTGCATGGGTTTCCTCTCCTCTAGGTGCTCCGGTTCCCCCACAGTCCAAAGACATGCAGTAAAGGTGAATTGGGTAGGCTAAATTGTCTGTAGTGTGTGTGTGTGTGTGTGTGTGTGTGTGTGTGTGTGTAGGATGGGTTGCGGCTGGAAGAGCATCCGGTGCGTAAAAATGTGCCGGATAAGTTGGCGGTTCATTCCGCTGTGTGTTATTTTTTTAAACTAGTTCTGTTCTTTTGAGATTTCTTTACTCAGGTGGAGGTGTGCGTTGGCTCGAGGCCACAGACCAAGTGCCTTAGTGTCCCACCAATGACAATACACAGCCATATCGCACTGCTCTCTAGTCAACTTGACAACACAAACACTGCTTTCACCTTCAAACTCCGCCTCTGCTTTCATTTGATTTGACAACGAAAAAGAGATGCGACTGACCTAGCAGCATGCATGAGTTTTTTCAACTGCAGTCACACAAAGCACAATGGTTAAAACACGAGGAACACAAGGCACAAAGGCAGCGTGCAAAACATTCACAGTCATTAGTAAACCATTAAAAAAAGGCACCTCTCATCCCAAAAAGCATGTTCTGTGTGATCAAAGCCTTCGAAGGCAGCTGCCCATGTAGTCAGTATGCTCTCCAAGTTTTACTCATTTCATGCCAGTTACTGCTTTTTCTCCCAAAATACATCAAAGTGCTTTACTTTTCAAAACTACACTACAATGAATATGTTCATCTCAAAGTGACTCTTTTTATCTGTCAGGATATGTTTTAAAGTCACTATGCAGGAATATGAGACATAATAATACCTTTACACCAAAAGAGCAGGACAAAGCTCAAGCTGTACCTGTCATCTAGTAGTTATGGGTGTGTGTACGTACTCATTAAGAATAAATATCTCCTGTCAGGAGTGCCCCGGCAGCCCTCAGAAAAAAGCCACTGACCAGCACTTTGGTATAATATCATATATTTTATAGAACTGAGGAGTAACTTACTGAAAATAGGGACGTATACAGTAAGTCCAAAATAAAACCTTAACTACAGCACTGAAATTAGTGTCGGTTCGACTGTTTTAGACAGCAAAAGCATATTTAATGCACCAAAACCCTGTACAAATCTTTCAACAAAAGTCTTTACATTAGAAGGCTGTAATTTAAATTTAGACAGTGGGTTTGAGATTAGTTAGTTAGTGAGTGAGTGAGTGAGTGAGTGAGTTAGTTAGTTAGTGAGTGAGTGAGTGAGTGAGTTAGTTAGTTAGTGAGTTAGTTAGTTAGTTAGTTAGTTAGTTAGTGAGTTAGTTAGTTAGTTAGTTAGTTAGTGAGTTAGTTAGTTAGTTAGTGAGTTAGTGAGTTAGTTAGTGAGTCAGTTAGTTAGTGAGTTAGTGAGTTAGTTAGTGAGTTAGTTAGTTAGTGAGTTAGTTAGTTAGTTAGTTAGTTAGTTAGTTAGTTAGTTAGTTAGTTAGTTAGTTAGTTAGTTAGTTAGTGAGTTAGTTAGTGAGTTAGTTGGTGAGTTAGTGAGTCAGTTAGTTAGTGAGTTAGTGAGTTAGTTAGCTAGCTGACTTTATTAGTACCTGTAGGTAGATTCTTTTTGCAGCAAAGTTTGGCATTTGATACAAACAATAAAATCACACGTATACATACACACATATACACATACAAAGTACCTTATAAAAGATTACAATTTATTCAGAGTAACAAAAGATGATGGGACAAAGCTATTCCTGAACCGTTTTGTCCAACTTAAAAGCATCTGAAACTTTAAACCCGAAGAGAGCAGGATAAACTCCTCAGACAGAGGATGAGAGCTACAGCTACTAATGTTCTGGGCAATCCGTAAAAGCTGCCTACTACGCAGGGATTCAATAATCAGCTGTGATTTACCAATCAACCTGCTAGACCACCTAACAACCTGGCTCAGTCTATTCCAGATTTTGAGAGACAGACGTCTAAACCGTGCCACCAGAGCGAAGGATAGAATAGAAATATAGATCAATAAAAGCACGATTTAAAAAAAAAAAAAAAAAAAAAAAAAAGAGTAAGCATATTGGGCCCAATGAGAAACATGTGATTGTTTCCTTAGACAATATAGGCGCCGATGCCCCTTCTTGGACACAGCGTCACAGTTTGCCTCAAAGTTTAAAGATCGGTCAATAATGGTACCCAAATATTTGTAGTTCTCCACCCATTCTACCTTTTGACCCCTAATATTAGTCACCTCAGCTGCTGTATGATTCCTTCTAAAATCAATAATCATATCCTTAGTTTTTGTTGCGCTAAGTTTTAGATTTGACTAATCACACCACTAAACAAAATGATCTACTATCGGACCATGACTATTTTCATCTCCTTGGAGAAGGCTTACAATCACAGTGCCGACTGCATATTTTAAAATGAAATGATTTTCAAATGTGCTCTGACACATGTTTGTGTACAGAATAAATAAAAGTGGGGATATATATATATACTGTACATATACAGTTAAAGTCACAATAATTAGCCCCACTGAATTATTAGTCCCCCCGTTTATTTTTTCCACAATTTCTGTTTAACAGAGAGAATATGTTTTCAACACATTTATAATAATAATAATAATTTTAATAACTCATTTCTAATAACTGATTTATTTTATCTCTGGCATGATGGCAGTACATAATATATGACTAGATATTTTTCAAGACACTTCTATACAGCTTAAAGTGACATTTAAAGAGTTAACTAGGTTAACTAGGCAGGTTAGGGTAATTAGGCAGGTTATTGTATAACGATGATTTGTTCAGTAGACTATCGAAGAAAAAAAATTGCTTAAAGGGGCTAATAATTTTGTCCTCAAAATGGTGTTTAAAAAATTAAAAATTGCTTTTATTCTAGCCAAAATAAAACAAATAAGCCCTTCTCTTGAAGAAAAAATATTATCAGACATACTGTGAAAATTTCCTTGATCTGTTAAACATCATTTTGGAAATATTTAAAAAATAAAATAAAAGGGGGGCTAATAATTCTGACTTCAACTGTATATTACATAACATTTTTTACTTTTAAGATTTTTGTTGTGTTTTACAATTTATTATTCAGAATTTTTATTAATCTTGTGCCTTCACCTTTAAAGGATTTTGTTTTTCTCTGTACTGACAATATAAGATACGATAAGATACATACTTGAGCATCATCAAGTGGGGACTGTAAAGAATTTTAGAGTCACTAATTTTGGTCATTTTGCTTTTTCTTTAGGAGTCCATCCTTAGCATACTTCAAGCTACATGTACATTTACCAAAGCCATATCACTCTGCAGATGAAGACCGGTTACTCACAAAAGCTAAGAAGGGCTGAGCTTGGTCAGTAGCTGAATGGGATCCCACAGGGGAAAAACTAAGTTGCTGTTGGAAGTGGTGATAGTGAGGCCAGTAGGGGGCACTCAATCTGCGGTCTGTGTGAGTCTTAATGCCCCAGAATTGTGAATGTGATGCTGTACTGTCAGTGAGCACCATCTTTCAGATGATATATTGAACCGAGGTCCTGACTCTCTGTGGTCATTAAAAAGCCCCCCAACACTTCTCATTAAGAGTAGGGGTGCAAACCCGGTGTCCTGGTTACATTCCCTTTATCGGCCCTTACTGATAATGGCTTCCCAACTGATCATCCCCATCCAATGTCTTTTTATTATTATTATTATTATTATTATTATTATTATTATTATTATTATTATTATTATTAATTTATTTTAATTGTTATTATTAGTATTAGTAGTAGTAGTATTAATAATAATGATAATAATAATAATATTAATAATAATAATCATAATTAAAATAAATTAACAATAAAAAATATTATTATTATTATCATTTTTAACTTATGTTAATTAATAATAATAATAATAATAATAATAATAATAATAT